TCCATTTCCATCCACGTTGCTACAAAAGGCCATATTTCATTCTTTCTCGTTGCCATGTAGTATTCCACTGTGTATATAAACCACAACTTTTGCCTGCTGCTCATTTTGTGTCTACCTCTTCATTCTTCGAAGAAGCAGGGAGACAACGAACTCCATCTAGTGAGGTAAAAAAAATCCTGCAACAATAGTATTCCACAGGTGACTAAGGCTCTATTTATTTTATTTTACTCTTTTTTTCCTTCTTTTCTCCAGAGTGGATTTCTCCATTAATTGATCTTCTTGTTGGCTGATTCTTTATTTTGCCCTCCCATATTTGTTGTTGAGCCACTCTAGTGAATTTTTTATTTCACTTATTGTACTTTTAAACTCCAGAATTTGTTTTTTGAAATAATTTCTATCTCTATTGATATTCTCTATTTGATTTGAGACATTGTTATCATACTTTCCTTTAAATTTTTAGGCACAGTTTCCTTAAATTTGAATACAGGCTTTGTCTACTAAGACCAAAATCTAGGCCCCCTTCAGGATGTTTTTGTTGACTTTTTTTGTCTGTATATGTGGCATATGTTCCTATTTCTTTGCATGTCTCTTAATTTTGTGATAAAAACTGGACACTATAGGTAATATATTGTAACAGCTCTAGTATCAGATTCTTCCACCCTCTTCCCCACCAAGGTCTGTTGTATTTTGTTTATTATTGTTCTGGTATTTTCTTGGTATTGGTTATTCATTTAGTGATTTTCCAACACTACTCTATATTCCCTGCAGTGTAGGCCATTGAGTTCTTTGCAACTTAAAAAAAAATTTGTTTTGGGGGGCACCTGGGTGCCTCAGTCAGTTAAGCATCCAAATGAGGTCACGATCTCACATTTGCAAGTTCGAGCCCCACATCAGGCTCTGTGCTGACAGCTCAGAGCCTGGAGCCTGCTTCAGATTCTGTGTCTCCCTCTCTCTCTGCCCTTCCCCCTCTCACACTCTGTCTCTCTCTCTCAAAAACAAATAAACATTAAAAATTTTTTTTGGGGGGCGCCTGGGTGGCTCAGTCAGTTAAGCGTCCGACTTCAGCTCAGGTCATGATCTCACGGTCCGTGGGTTCGAGCCCCGCGTCGGGCTCTGTGCTGACAGCTCAGAGCCTGGAGCCCATTTCAGATTCTGTGTCTCCCTCTCTCTCTGCCCCTCCCCTGTTCATGCTCTGTCTCTCTCTGTCTCAAAAATAAATAAACGTTAAAAAAAAAATTTTTTTTTTAATTTTTTTTTTTAATTTTGTTTTGGGGTGCCTGGGTGGCTCAGTTGGTTAAGCATCTGACTCTTGATTTTGGTTTAGTTCATGATCTCAGGGTTTGTGAGGTTGAGCCCCACATCTGACTCTGCGCTGATTGCTCAGAGCCTGCTTGGGATTTTCTACCTCCTTCTCTCTCTGCCCCTCCCCTGCTTCTGCATGCTCTCTTCTCAGAATAAATAAGTAAACTTAAAAATAAATAAAATGAAGGGCGCCTGGGTGGCGCAGTCGGTTAAGCGTCTGACTTCAACCAGGTCACGATCTCGCGGTCCGTGAGTTCGAGCCCCGCGTCAGGCTCTGGGCTGATGGCTCAGAGCCTGGAGCCTGTTTCCGATTCTGTGTCTCCCTCTCTCTCTGCCCCTCCCCCATTCATGCTCTGTCTCTCTCTGTCCCAAAAATAAATAAACGTTGAAAAAAAAATTTTTTTTTTTAAATAAATAAATAAATAAAATGAATTTAAAAACTTTGTTTTTATTTTTAAGCCTGGCATGCTAAGGTTCATACCTGGGTCAGTACATTTAGTGGTGAGCCAATGATTGGCCAGAAGATTTCATTAAATGACTCATCTGGATATTTTTGCCAAGGGAATCTCTGTGGGAAGGCGCACTTTCTAGCTTTACTTTACAAGAAAACTTTTGAATTTCTTTCCTGCTTGTCCAGGAACTGAAGTGCAGCCAGAATTGAGTGATTGGTACTTTTTCCTTTCTTAGGTCTTTCCTGGCTTGCCAGACATTTATATTCCCAGGAATATGCCAGAGGTTTTAAAAGTTTCCTATGGTCATCTAATTGCCCTAGAATTCTTTTTTAATTCTAGGCCAGATTCTTGTTTGCCCCAACTGAATCACTGCATCTGAGTTGTTGCCAGTGCTTTCCTATTGTTTCAGTAATGCCCTGGAGGTAGCTCCTTACCCTCCCCACTCCCCAGACCCAGCCTACCTGGGCTGACCTGAGCTCTAAGTGAAACCAAATATCTACCACACTCTAAGAATAGAGATTTTTCTGGGTTGTTGCAAGTTCAGATGACTGTGCTCTGGGGATGGTACTTTTAAGGGAACTCAAAAAGAGGTCTGATCTCTATTGTCTGCAATGCTGCTGGCCTTTAGCTATCCCAACACTGAGCTGGGAGGGAAGCCGGGAGGGGAATTACCATAAGTTAAAATGTCACAGATCTCATTAGTTTGTCTTGAATAAATGATTTTTATTTCATTCTGTGTCTCTGGATAATTGTCAGAGTTCTGAAATAGTTGGTTTGAGTTGTTTTGCCCATATTTTTATTGTTGTAAGAGCAAGTTCACCTAGGCCCTTATTCTGCATTTTTGAACTCTTTCTCCTCCCTCTTTTTCTATTATCTGAAAGAACTTGTGTTGAATTAGTACTATTTCTTCTTTAACTGTCTGGAAGAATTTTTCAATGAAACCACTTGGGTTCAGAGATTTCTATTTTGGGAACTTTTTCACTACAAATTCAAATTGTTTAATAGTAGTTACAAGATTTATTCACGTTATACATTTCCTGTTGAGTAAGTTTTGGTAGTTTGTGGTTTTTGAGGCTTGGTCCATTTCATCTAAGTTGTTGAATCTTTGTGTTTATTGTTATGCCCAGAATTCGTGATCCCCAAAGACCACCAGGGAGCCGAGTCCGATGCAAAAGCAAAAGAGCCTTTATTCGAGCTAGCTCCAGCTCAGTCCCCTACCTGCACCGACGCAGCGGTGAGATACCGGGGAGAGAGAGGGAGTTTCAAAAGCACAAAGGTTTTATTGGGGTCTAGGGGCAGTTGGTGAGGTAATGGCTGTGGCCTCAGCCGATTGGCTGGAGAAGGATCGTGGCCTCGGCTGATTGGCTGGGGAAGGGTCGAAGTCCTGTTACGCAGGTCGCTGGGCGTGTTTTGATTGGGAAGTTTGACCGGGTGAGCGGGAGGTTACTCAAGGGGAGGAGGCGTGGTCAAGGTGGAGGACACAGAGCAAGATGCAGTCAGCCGGCGGCCGGCGTAGGTCCGCTGTTTCATTTATAATTGTTTATTATTATCTTTTTAATGTCTTGGGAACCTGTAGTGACATCACCTATTTCTGGTATTTGTAATTTGTATCTTCCCTTTTTTTTCTTTGTCAGTCTTGACAGAGGTTTATCAATTTTATTGATCTTTTCAAAGATATCCAGTGTTTGCTTTTATTGTTTTTTTCTATTGTTTTCCTGTTTTAAATTTCATTGATTTCTGCTCTTCATTATTTTCTTCCTTTTACACATGCTTTGTTTTTATTTTGCCCTTTCTCTAGTTTCTTTAAATGGAAGCTAAGATCATTGATGTGTGAGACCTCTTTCATTTTTTTAATACAAGCATTTAATGCTATAAACTTTCCTAAAAGTACCACTTTGGCTACATCTACTATGATTTTTTTTTTTT